ATGAGACGACGGATTTTATACCTATCGTCCTCATCATGACTAATAATCCAGAATATTCTTATTACGCAAAGAAAAAAACCAAGATGCGCACGACTATAGGCCCATGATACAGCACACACGTTTAAGCTAATACCCAGGTGAATTGACGTCATCCCCTGAGACACATCATTTAATTACACAATCGGTTACACATAGGTGTAGTTAACGCACACTTTCAGTAATTCTACCTCCAATTTGTCTAAAAGCATGTTTCAGAGTTTCTATTCTTCACCCAAATAGAGCTTGATGAGCTCTACTCAATAATATAATCCGATTTTCTATAGCTCAAGCTATGTTTTGTCCAATCACAAAAACAATGGTGCATCGCCATAGGAAATATGTCATCAACAAAGTAATTCCAACTCCATTTTTGTGCGAGATCGTATTCCAGAATTCCTATTTTTCTTTGCGATACAACTCGATACGCTCTATTCACTGATATAATCAGAGTTGCCCTAAGGGAAATTATGTCTTCGAAAATTACAAAAAAATGCTATTGCATTACAGGAAATATGTGACATTCAAAGTAATTGGTACCCCCATTCCGTCCATAATCATATTCCATATTTCCTGTTTTTCTCGGATTTAGAACTCGATGAGCTGTATTGAATGATATAATTAGATTTTCTATATGGTCAAATTATCTCTCGAAAATCAGAGAACAATGGTACTTCACTATAGGAAATATGTGACCGTCAAAGTAATTGGTACTTAGAGGCGTGCAGGATAAATTTTTTTTTGTACCCTGCACCCTTTGTGAGAAAATTTCTCATACCCTTACCCTAATCTACTACTCTAGAGAGTTTATTTCTTACTCTCCCTTAATCCTTCCATATTCAGAAGATTGTAAAAATGGTATGTTGTAAAATAGTGTTACGTTTTTCTGATTTATTTTATTTTTCATTACAATATATTAACTTACAATTGCTTTGAAATTTTTAATGAACAACATATCATCAACAATGTCATCACTTAAACTTTGTCGTCGTTCTTCGAGAATTCTTCCACTTGCACTAAATATTCTTTCCCTAGTACATGAACTAGCTGGTATACCAAATAATGATCTGGCAAGAATACCAAGTTTTGGATATATTATTGACCATTTTTTCCACCAGTTTAATACAGATTCTTCATGATTGATTATTAGTTTTGATTTAACATAACGATCAACTTCATCATCTTCTTCTTCGTCATTTGAATCAGGTTGATTTTCTTGAGCAAATTCCATCATTACATCCTGTTGTAAAAAATCATTTTTTTAAATTTTTCTTTGATATTTTTCTTGGTGTACTAGTAATAGCTGTTGCAGAAGTTTGTTTTTATGTTTCATCAGGTTCAATGATGTTGATTGTTTTCATCATATTCCTTGTAGCTTTATAAACACCATTTCGTTCTTTTTGACTGTATGACTAAGTAAATTAAGTATAAGCAACAGATGTATGAAGCTTTAATATTTGTTCACGTATAAGACTTACTAATAAGTTTTTTGTGAGAGGATGAAGAAATGTTGCTATATCATGAAGTCGAGTAAGCCAAACTTTTTCTTTTATTTGTTCTGATGGCATTTTTTTGAAATTCTTAATTGTTGGTAATTCATTATATTTAATTTCACAAGATTTTAATTTATTGATCCAAGGTAAAACCAAGTGCAGAGTAGATTCTTGATCAGAAGATAATTGTTCACTAGCCTTCTTGAAAAACGACAAGATATTACTAATATTTGTTAATAATATATGATCAATTTTATTTAAATAATCGGCATATTCTTTTCTTTCCAAAAGAATATCTTCAATACATTTAAAATTCACATCAATAGAATTTAGCATATCGTAGACTCAGTTCCATCTAGTCTCACAGTGTTGCTTCAAAGAAAAGAATAGCAAATGGTTCAGCTCGTACCTTTTAAAGTATGTAACAAGTTCAGCAACCGCATTAATCAGTAAATGAATATTTGGATTTCCCTGAATAGAATGTTGAATAACTAAATTCAAACAGTGGCCTAAAACAATTATTGTATACATAAAATTATTAAACTTTTATGGTCATAGATAATGTTCTAGAAAATGGAAACACTCTTTCTTCTTAGACTTAAAGAAAGTTCTCTTTATTAAACAATTAATCTGACTTTCTCTTTAGAAAAGTTTTTTTCCTATTAAAAAACAAAATTATGTATGATCTATAAAGAATTACTTACAAATGCATCTTAGATGTACTTCGTCTTTTAATCCTGAAATGAAGTTTGATGCATTATCTGTTAAATATATAACATGTTTATCATCTTGATCTAAACCATATGATCTCAATACCGATTTAATAATTCGAATTGTATTTTCACCACTTTTAGTTCCTGAGAAATAAAGAGTTTTTAACATATATGTTACAGGATTATCACTTTTTGTGTAATGAATGTTTATCGTTAAAAAATTCTCATTTGTATAAGAATTTCTCCAATAATCAGTACTTATTTCAATTAATTTAACTTCTTTTAAATCTTCACGCCAAATGTCATTCATTTTCAAACGATATTCATTAGCAATTTGTTTAATACTACGTGACATATTTGTACAATCAGGGAATAATACTTCAACAGATGGTTTACTTAATTTAGCTAAACCATATTTATAACCCGAATCAATTAGTGCCTGATATAATTGTTTAAAACCTTCACCATTAACAGTATTCAAACAACGCATGTCAAACGCACAGTATTTCGAACTTGCAATAGTAATCATTCTTTTATCATCAGGAGGTATACTAATATTTTTTTTTAACATAATTGTCAATTGGCATTGTAGATTTTGGTAAACTAGTTTTCTTTGTACAATTCTATACATGAAGATTAAGTGAGTTTGTTCCGTTTTTTTTCTTCATATGATAATATTTGTTGACAAATTATACATTGAGCAAATGGTTCATATACTCCATTCATATCTTTTATTCGAAGTAAATTTGACCAAAATTCATCAAGATGTTGGTGGTTTCTTAGTTGTACACATTCTGCCTTCTTTGAACTTCGATAATCAATTACAATATTAAATCAAGTAGATCAACAAATCAAAATAAATACGTAACAAATTCATTCCAATTCATAATACTATTTTAAACGGATCAGTAAATAAGTATAAATAAATACGAGATCAATTGTAAATCACGACACCATTTCAAACAAATTAGTAAATAAATATGAATAAATATTAAATCGATTGAAATCACAATACTAATTTGAGGAAATCAATAAATAAGTATAAATAAATAATAAACTGATTGTAACTCACAATACTATTTCAAGTCAATCAGTAAAAATAGATATAAATAATTAATAAATCGATTTTCATTCACAATATGAAGTCAAGTAAATCAATGATAGAGAAGATGATAAACAATAAATAGATATTCTTTCCTATCGACATAATCCTATAATATGGTGAAATGACTGGTCTTTAATCGATCCATTAGAGTAATCACACAAGGAAGATGTCACTAGAAAATGATCATTCTTCTATAACCCTGTGAGGATATCGATATAATGAACAATAACCTATCTGCACATCTGCGCCAAGACCCTTTTATTCTCTCACTCTTACTCTACTCTACCCTGCAGGGCAGGGCAGGACTGGGTAGGGTACGGTAGGGTAACTCTGCACATCTCTAATTGGCACCCCATTTCATGTAGAATCATATTCCAGATTTCCTATTTTTCGTGGATTTAGAACTCAATGAACATTATTGAATTATATAATCAGATTTCCATAGCTCAAGCTATGCCTTCAAAAATCAGGAAACAATGGCACTTCACTATAGAAAATCTTTGATCATCAAAGTAGTTCTGACCCCATTTCACCCAGCATCGTATTCCAGAGTTTCTATATTCGTACCATATACAACTCAATCACCTGTATTCAATGGTCAAAACAGTTTCTCCATAACTCAAATTATTTCTCCAAAAATCAGACAACAACGGTACTTCACTATTGGAAATATGTGATCATCAAAGTAATTCCGACCCCATTTCGTGCACGATCATGTTTCAGCCTTCCTAACTTTGTCTGAAGTAGAACTCAATGAGCACTATTCAGTGGTGTAATCAAATTTTCTATAATGAAAATAATGTCTTCAAAGATTACAAAATACTGCTGTTTCACTGGAAAAAATATGAGACTACCAAAGTATTACTGTTACGGCCATTGTCCCCACAGTATGCTTTTCTTTGCTTTCTTCTCTCTTTTCCCCTGGATGTGATATTTTCTTTTTCTATGTGATATCTTCGGTCATATATGGGTGTGGGGTGTGGGTGTGGGTGGAGTGTAGTTGTTTCTCTTTTTGAGCCACATCACACCCACATCCACACCCCACACCCACATCGCACCCACACCCATACCCCACACCACACCCACACTCACACATCCACACCCTAGAAGATTTGCAATAAAACCATCTTTGCTTACATCAATATCGAGTATTGATTCCCACGAAAACAGCAATTATCTGAAGAACACTTTAATTATTATAATCAAGAAATGCAATGGCCTTTTTCTTCCTTTCAATTCATGTTTGGCGTATTATTGATGAGTATTGACATAATCTTGAATGATGTGAATGAGAACAAGAGATATCTTATATAATGCCATTACTTTTCTCCATACTTACATTCAAATTCCTCGACTGAAGTCGGCCAGATGTCTGTTGGCGCTAATATTATTTCAATTTTACTATTATTGGCCATTGTCGTCACTCTTTTGTATGCTGCACATCAACATTATGTTATCAAGAAAGATCCCAGCCCCCGATTCGGAAGGAAGCAATTCTCAGTGTATGATACAACGGAAAAACTACTGAAATATCGTATCGAATCGAAATTTCTACGTACAGGCAGTAGGCAAGTCTATATTTATCCATCAAAAGAAGTTGTTGGCAAATTAACTCGCAGATGGACATGGTCTCTCAAAGCTGATTTTTCAGTTCTCGATCCAAGATCGAACCGTTGGATCAATGGAAATATTACGCAACTGAATAAACTTACTTTAAAACAACCTACCAAATACTCCATCTATTGGAATGATCAGGCCTTAATGATGGAAACCCATATCGCATCATACTTCAGAAAAATCTATGGTAAACCTGAAGATGGTGATTTGGCTAAGTTTTCAAAACGATTCATTTCAAAATCGTCATCAGATGAATACACTTTGACCATATTCTCCAATAAGTTTCCAGATGCATTTTACCTTTTAGTGTTTACTGCTGAAGATTTCACGAAATTGCCTAGTGGGACAGGCAGACGAAAAAATCCATTTGCACAACATCCTCTTGATCCATTTATATGATTATTCGTAAAATGTACTCAATAAGTGATGAAGGCAACTTTAGAAGAAAAATCAGTGTGAATTTGTGTCTCATTTGAAAAGATATTTATTTCTTTTGAGAGAATCTTACTAGTTAAGAAAACATTTGTATGTAGATATTTGTGAAAATGATACGGATGTGAATGTGTCCTTGAAGAGAGGAAGCTTTTAAACACCTAAATATGAGAAAAATGTGTAGCTCCATATTATGCTTGGTACATGTTTCATAACTTTGAGTGCTGAATGTACAACTCAAAGGAAATGTACTGAAGAGATACCGCAGTATTTGGCTGAAAAATTGCTCAAACTATGAGTTGCTGTCGAAAAAATCATCAACTCATGACCCGTCATGTTGTTTAATTCAAAAAAACATATTATTTCTTTTTATATTGGATTGATATGTGGAATACGCTAGGATAGTTCTTCATAGAGAAGTTCATGTTTTTACATTAGATTTATCATGAGAGATCACTTAGAGACGAAGTAGCAGCAATGGATGGACGCATAGAACACACACGGTATCGTCTGATTTAGATGACATTTTTGTTAATAACAAGTAACGTTCATCGTCAAGCGATTCACTTAGCCCTAGACTGATAGAATACATGTACGGATGTAATAGCATAAAAAGCTACATTAAAAAAGTAATACGCAAAATTGATAATATAACCAGTATATCTTAGGCGAGCAGAAAACTTAATTCGGAGAATTCTCACTCTAAGTAAAGATAATGCATTTTACAAATTTAATTTTTTTTGTCGTTTTTGTTTTATTTTTTTTTGCTTTTATAAATATAAATAGCGCTCAATAAGATTAGACAAGAATACGATTTTTTTTGTAATTATATTGGCGCTATTTGTACGTACAAAAATATGAATTATATTATTCATAAAATTTGAGTTTTATTAATCAATATTTTATGCTTCAATTCGCGCATTAATTCTAAACTATTAATAAATTAGATATTCATTGATACAACATTGCACAATCAATCCTACAATAATGAATAATTTAAACGATTTCTTTAATTCCATACTGCTCATTTGGTCTGACTCTCACTAATTAAATGCTTTTGTAAGCGGTTTTACACCACTACCCGAATTATAGTTATTTCATTGACACATTTTATCGATGATTATTATGGGTTCATTTACATCAGTCTTTAGATGGTCATTTGTGCCATAGTTACCGGAATAGTTGTTTGTACCATGGTTGCTATATGGTCACCTGTGCCATAGTTACCGAAATAGTTGTTTGTACCATGGTTGCTATATGGTCATCTGTGCCATAGTTACCGAAATAGTTGTTTGTACCATGGTTGCTATATGGTCACCCGTGCCATAGTTACGTGGTCGTTTGTACCAAAAAAATGACCGTTTGTGCCATAGTTATATGCTCATTTGTACCATAGTTACCTAGTTAATTTTAGTAAAAAAATAGCCGTTTGTGCCAAAAAAATGGTCACTTGTGCCAAAAAAATGGTCGTTTGTGCCAAAAAAATGGTCACATGTGCCAAAAAAATGGCAATTTTGACCGCGTTACCGACAGACAGACACACGTGAATTTCGGTTTCTAGACCCTAGCCTTTCAGTCTAGGGAATATCACATTATTAACAAAAATAAATTTTTATTATCGTGTGATCATTTGTACCATAATTACCAAGTCGATTTTTTGATCATGCTTTTACTATCATCACTGGTACCACAATCACTATGGCGATTTTCACCATAGTTATTATTTGGCCATTTGTACCACAGTTACCATGGTCATTTTGACCATAATTGTTAAATAGTCGTTTGAACCACAGTTACGATGGACATTTTAACCAAATACTCATTTGTACCATAGTTACCACGGTCATTTTGACCATAGTTGTTATTTGGTCATTTGCACCATTGTTACTATGGCCATCTGAACCATTGTTACTATGGGCATTTAAACCATATGGTCATTTGTACCATAGTTACCTAGTTAATTTTGCAAAAAAATGGCTGTTTGTGCCAAAAAATGACCGCTTGTGCCATAGTTATCATGACCATTTTGACCGCGTTACCGACAGACAGACGGACAGACACACAGACACAGGTGAATTTAGGTTTCTAGACCCTAGCCTTTCAGTCTAGCGAAAATAAATTGATGTCAAAGATGAAATTATTTTAGATTGGATTTTATGAAAAATTTAAATTTTCATATTGTTTGAACCATACTTGATGATATTTTTGAAATCCACGACATCCTACTTTGATATAGAATTCAACTTTTTTCCGAATACATTTTTCTCTAATAAGCAGCCGTAAAAACATGAAATTTATCCAAAACCTTCTTGAAGTATCTCATTTTGCAGTGGTTT